CTCTCTCTCTCTCTCTCTCTCTCTCTCTCTCTCTCTCTCTCTCTCTCTCTCTCTCTCTCTCTCTCTCTCTCTCTCTCTCTCTCTCTCTCTCTCTCTCTCTCTCTCTCTCTCTCTCTCTCTCTCTCTCTCTCTCTCTCTCTCTCTTTCTCTCTCAAAGAATAATCACAACAAGTCTCCGCCTATCCAATTTGTAAGAACATTCCGAAGTCAGATCCTCGCCGTGAAGTTTGAAAATCGCGCTATCTTTCCGGGCAAGAATAAAATCTATTATCTTTATTTTCGTCATTATTAATTTTCACGCAATCTAGTCCGATTCCCGGTAAAGCACATAAATGTGTTGACGTTATGTCCGAAAAACGGACATAACGAATACTCTTGATGAATTGTGACAGTACCATTTTTTGTTACAGCGGTGGGATAGGTAAAGGTTGTGTAAAAATAAATGAAAAGCAAGGACAGCGAGTAAATCATGACCACCTTGCAACGCACACCACCACCCGGCACAGGACGACATGGGACAGCACACGGGATTTGTAGACGCCCAGACATTGCGGAGAGCATTAGCACAATACCAAGAAGAACTGCATCGTCAACGAAAACTAATCGAACCATTGCAATCAGCACGAAAACAACAGTCACAAGGTACAGAAATCCCAGTCTTTACAGAAGAATCATTGGGTAACTACTTACATTTTTCATTAAGAGACGCGTTAGGGGCAGTGCCAAATTGTGTTGGAGGAAATATTCCATTCGTATGTTGTGTCGCGGCCTGGTTTGCATATGCGACTACTTTTGCATCATTCCTTTGACATCGTAGTATGTTCTTTATAATTCAATCTTTGGATATACAGTGCTTAATAATTAATAGGTTACAATTAAACTTACTCAATAACCTGAGTTTCGGTATTCAATGACGGTGGTGAGCCTACCAGCCCAGACAGCACACCATATCTAAAAGACAGCTTTAAGACGTCTTTAAGTCTAAAAGACGTCTTAAAGACGTCTTTATGATGTCTTTTAGATATGTGTGCTGTCTGGGAGGCGAGTTCCCTTTGTAAGAGTTATACGTCCACTCTCACGTCTCGTGTGAAAAGTCTTGACGACTACTTCACAGGTAAGTTCGAACGCGACTACTTTGTCAGGTAAATCCGAACGCGACTACTGTACGGTTAAGTCCGAACGCGACTAGCTATGCACGCTATGTGCGTCGCCCTTTAATTTATTATGTGCTAACTTCAATTCTATTATCAATTTTAATATAACTTAATACGAAGAATTTCGCAACTGGATTTCTTTGATGTATTTATATGCTTATTGGTTTTAAAGAAGGAGGAAAGAATAAGCGACTACCAAAACCCCTTCCTTAATTTTTTCGTCCTCTCTTTTTGTCTAAACAAGCGTAAGATTTTATCTATTGTTTTTAAAAGATGGGGTATGCATAGAAATTAAGTTAATTAATGTTACGCTTATTGCCACTTGCGTCCCTTTTTGTATAATCGTGATTGTATCTCCTCCACTTCTTTTTCAAGCAATTCTAGTTTTTTTTAAGGTATCGACTACGTAAGCGTCGTCTGGT